CAGGGGAGTATATTGGATTAGGTTGAGGACATTTCTCAGGGGTCAGATACATAAAGTGATAGTTAGCGTTATTTGTACGAAGCGAGCGACTGCCACTAGGTGGTGGGGGCGATGTACGATCGCCACGTGGTGTCGGGGTCGCCCACGGAAGTGAAAGTGCTTTTGTTAGCGTCATCTGACAACACGGCACCGGATTTGTTAGCCGTATAGCCACTGCTTCGGCTGTTGCAAGCACCGATTGGCTTAGGCCCTTGGAAAAGTTGGCTGGTATCCGGTAGACAACCTGAAAGGCTTCATAAATATCTACTCGACGATTCATATCGACAAGGTGTGCGAGAATTGTACTCGAGATCGATCTAGTTTCATCTTTACTTAACCAGGCCGGTATTTGCTCATGTAACCCCATTTTCAGGCGCCTCGTTGTTCGGCCGATGTATCCTGCTCCACAGGTGCAAGTGAAAGAGTAAATGCACATGAATGTGGCCTTCAACGGAAGTCAGTCTATACCTCCCAAACGTAGGAGGGGGTAGTTCGTGAAAAAAAAACACACGTAACTTCGTCACGAGGAAAGGGCTTGCGATCGCAGACTTCAGACGTCGTCTTGCCAGCTCGCTTGTTGCGTCGCCTAAGAAAGGTGGTCTTGCGAACACGTCTTTATTTTCTGCGATTAAGTAAGCAGGCTTTTTTGACGTGTTTGCCACCATTTCTGTGGATGAACCCTTTTGGATATCCATTTTAAAGGAGCGTGTTCCGCAGCTACTGGGGTTCTGCGTCGACAACTTCAGGAGAACAGAACCGTTGTACTCTAGCTGCTATTACTGTAAACTAGTTCACAGGCAAGTCACCGTCGCTGTCCATATCGTGCGGGACAGTAGACGGCCTCGGCAATGACGGTAGAACTGTCGTGAGTCTTTTTAAAGGAGTGCAGTCTGCCCTTGTTGCTTGCGTTTTTATCGCCTCCTGCAAATGCTGTTTCAGAGGGGACGCTTGAGAAGCCTACTAGACGGCTTTCAGCACAAAAATTGCCCCGCCCTGCTCCTTAGTGCTTCTGACGGAGTAACAGCACCAGAGGGGACTTCAAGTGTAGTAGCAGACCTTTTTTGGCTCTGGA